TTTTATACTAACCACCCATTTAAAACTTCATACATATTAAGTTTTACATCGATAGTAGAGGGAAATTTATATATGATACAAATGATGTAATACTTTGCCTCAATAATCTCAAGTTCCTATTAMCTATGGATAAAACCTTACATTTTGTATTATTTTTTATATATAAATATTGTACATATTTACATTTATACTCTTTCCAAACTGAACCCAAAATATTACGGAATTCAATTCTGCATCAACACCGGAAAAAACCAGCCCTCGATTGACTATACAATAGCTAACTTTGGTCTAACATATCACCTGCGAATTTCATTTATTTCACAGCTAGCTCGATCCATTTCTTTTCCACAGCGGTGGAAGAACAGATATATAACGACTGAAGTATGATGATTAATTATTCACTGAAGGAGACTCCAGACATAAAGGAGTTAGCAGTAGTGTTTATAATAGTCTGAATTTGACATTAACATGAGCGGCTTAATGCCGTAAACAAGGGTTAAAATATTGACATGACATAGACTATACTGTATCAATTTTGTTAAAGATGGGCACGTGGCATACGTGGAATGGGATTGGTGCCCCATTCATTCAACAAGTGCCAGTCAGTATCACTTTTATATCCCGCCGTATCCAACTTGTATTGGTTGATATGGACGCATACCATGTGCTGGTCCTGGTATGATATATATTTGCTTCATGGGACTACACAATAAGGAGTAGCCCATCCCCTTTTCCTTAACGCCCCCCAATCCTTGATGGCAGCGAGATTTGATCTCAGGTCTCTATTCCGACGAGTCAAAGAATCTACCAACTGAGCCACCATCAATTGACAATATAATGGTAATAATGTAATTTTATTTGGCGGTTTGTATTTGGTTGTAATATAGTTTTATTTGCACCAACACAAAATTATGATAGTGCAAATGATTTTATTTCAAAATTTATCTTATTTTGTTTAATTGCAATACAAATAAAATAAAATAAGATTTGCAGCAGAATAAAATATAACCCAAAACAAAAATAAATAAAAAATTGCATTATTTTCATTTACACTTCTTTGCATTTGTACTAGTGCAAATAAAATTGCACTGCAACCAAACACAGCTTTATTAGTAATGGAACAATAATTATCAAAGATGCAGACCTTGATATCCTAGCCTGATCAAAGCTCAATTAAACAAATAAGCTAGAGAAAAATTGCTTTTACAAATTTTGGTATTCCTGTGTACAACAGTTATGGATGAGCAGGTGAGGAAAAAGCAATACTCGTTGATGATGGCAATAGAAAACTTTATTTTCTCAAACTTAATTACTTCAATTAGACGAGAAACCACAACAGTACAGCCATTAGTGATCGATCATTTCTATGCTAGCAGTAGTAGCCCAGAGAACAAATTTCTGGGATTGAGGACACTTTTTTATGGTAAAAATAAAAAATTTATTAAAAAAGAAAGAAAGATGTAAGAGAGTTCATCCCAAGTAAAAAAAGTATAAATATCATAATAGTTATAATATTTTTTTTGGATATAAATGCTATAATATATTTTTTGGGCTCCATGGGCTATACAAGAGGGGTATTTCATCCTCTAACCCCTTTTGTATGGAGTTACAACCAGCATGAGACATATGTATATTAATTAATAAGTGTGCCTGTGCTTTGTGCATGGCAATTTTTGATGATGATATTAAATAATATATTTCCAATTTTTAATTTTTTTTTATATTTTTATTTTTATAAAAATTATTCTTATTTGTCACATTTGTTTTTCTTTAATAATATGATTAATTAATTTAGGATTCAATAAAAGAATGAGAATTAATGTCCTAACAATAAGACTTAATGAGAAGGATTTGAATAAGAAGAAACATGATTATTCAAATTACATTTTTGTTCTTACAATTAGAAATGAACTAAATTCAAAAATTGGGATTTATATATTATATTATATTATATTGTTATAATTATATATATATGATCTTTAAATAGAAATGCCTAACCTTAGATCATTATAGATGATACACCAAAATTTGATGAATGGAATCAGGAATCGTGGACCAAACCGAGGAGTCATCTGATCAGTTCCGTTTTACCCTAAAACCGTTATTTTGGCCAAAAACCGTTGATTTGGTCAACAAATCGTGACCCAGACAGTCAAATTGTTCAAGCCGTCCAATGGTTTTTGACTGTTTTTTTTTTGTCAGAACGGACCATCCGTTCGGTTCGAACATTCGGACCATTCGACTTGAGAACTGAACTCCTGAACGGTTCGTTGTCTGATTTGATTTTAAAAACCTTGTTTGTAATATAGCCTAGAGGCCTCTACTTCTAACCCAAAATGGATTCATTTGTATTGATTGTTATGAAAAACTAGAGATCAGTTTATGTTAAGAATAAACAATTGCAAGTCTACAATTTTCTTACATGTAGGTGGTGCAAATTGGGTGGGCTTGAGTTAGGAGCATTTGTGAAAATGTGAAAATGGGCCTGATCCAATGGTGTGTAAATTCTTCAATAAAAGCCCAGAAGCTTATTGTTTACTTGGCCAAGCAAAACTTCACCAGATTGAACATAATTGATGTAAGTACATATTAACTCTAGGAAAGATTGACACTTGACAGGTTTTTTTTTATTTTTATTTATTTTTATAAATTTCTAATATCTTGTCTGTGAATGTAATCCAACTAAACAATAAATATAATTGGAAAGGTTGATGGAGAAGAATAACACCCCATGACATGACAGGGCATCCGAGATGCTTATGAATTGGTTTGTTGACATTTTTTTTCCTTATAAAGTGGCCCTAAGACGATCATATGGTACCCCATGTGGTTTTTTTAGTTCTTTCCAAAACTTGTAAAATTCGTTTCGTTTGTTGGAGTAGACATTTGTGATATTGGGTTCGGACTAGGCTGGGTTAGGGTAGACCTGGTATGGTAAGAAAAAACAAACCTGGTCCTGACCCATACTATAGGGTCTATTAATAATAGACGAGAACCAAACCTATTATTAGTCAGGCTTATTGGGTCTGACCCTGTAAGACCTGGTTATAATTAATAAGCATTTAGCCTGGTAATTTGACAAAACACATGCTAGAAAAGGGTATCTTTTCCATCATCATCATCTAAGTCTTATCCCAATTATGTGGGATTGGCTACATGAGTCCTGTTTTCACTATTTTGTGGGGTATCTTTGTTATTATCATCATCTAAGCCTTAACCCAACTATGTGGGGTTCGATACATGAGTCCTATTTTCACCATTCTGCTATGTTTAATTCCATATTCATGGTTAAATTACGAGGGTTTAGATCATTTCTTATTATTTCAATCCATGTTCTTTTTGTCTGCCCCTAGCCCTTCTAGTCCCTTGTCACTAGTCACTTATTCTTATGGTTGCTGCAGGTGGTCTTCAACAGGGGTGCAAGTTGGGCTGGGTTAGGTTAGGTTGAGGTTAACCCTAACCCAATCCAAGTTGTTGAGCCCCCAACCCTAAAACTTTGGGTTGGGCTCAAATCAGCTTTGCTGGTCTCAGGTTGGTCTGACTTTCTCTTCCTTTTGCTTAATGTTCTTTTTTTTTCCTCCATGTGGCTACATAATGGGAGTAACCCATCCCCCAACCCGTGTAAGTAGGATTTGATCCCAAGTGTCCGTTACAACCAACAGGAGATCTTAGCAACCAACCAGTTGGCACTTTGCCTTTTTCTTAATGTTCTTATTTATTTCCTAGACAATGTTATTCAATATTAGAATTATTATGTGAAATGGATATAATTATCATATTTTAGAGAAAAAATTGGCTTTAAATTTAAAATTTGTGTCATACAATATACATGCATACATGTATAGATAGACTCATAGATAGATAAATACGTATATACATAAATATAGAAATATTTGCATCAACAAAAAATATAAATATATAAATATATACATTTATGGATGCACAATTGCATATGTATACATGCATGAATAATGGATACACATATACATAAGTAATTGCATAATACATATTTATCTAATATTTGTCCATGCAAATACGAAATTAAGTTAGGTTTGGATTGGTTGGCCTCAACTCTAACTCTAACCCAAACTTCAATCCAATTCAACTCAAACCAACCCTAGTTTTTTTAGACTGGGTTCACCCGGCCAAGTTGCAGCCCTGGTCTTCGATGCATGTGATAAACCATCTAATTCTCTTTTCTTTTATTTGATGACCTATTGAAGCTATTCTTGGGTTCCAATGGAAGGGATATCTCTATTTGCTAATGTAAATTTATAATCAGAACTCAAAACCACCTTATTAATAATTAGGACTCAAAATGAAGATCCAAGGTCTGGTTGATTGACCTGGACCATTGATAGAAAGAAATAGAGCACAACTGGCTATTATTAAATGCTGGTGATAATAGGTGGACCATTCGGTTCAACCTCTCCACCACTGACAATAAAATAGTGGAATAATATTAATGAAATTATAAAAGATTAAAAAAATAAAATTAAGAAAAAACACATTAATACCCAAAACATAAGGTGGTTTGCATAAATAATTATAGGGTAAAATACAAAAGCCTCCCTGAAGTTTCTGAAAATCATAAAAACCTCCCCAATAATTTCATTTTACCAAAATGCATCCCCTGAACTTTTAAGAAACTCAACAAAAACCTCCCTTCCATTACTGTCTCAGACGGAAAACATTAGATTGATGCACCAGTTTTTTCCAAATATCCATTTTACCCTTTTATAATTTATTTTACATATAAAATTACTGAAATAATCCCATTTTAACTCAACAAAAAATATATGTTTTAGTAAATTTGTATGTAAAATTACTGAAATGATCGTAGAAAGAGGTTTTTGTTGAGTTAAAATGGGTATTTGGAAAAAACTGGTGCATCAATATAACGTTTTCTGTTTGGAACAGTGACGGAAGAGAGGTTTTTGTTGAGTTTCTCAAAAGTTCAGGGGATGTATTTGTTAAAATGAAACTATAGGGGAGGTTTTTATGATTGTCAGAAACTTGAGGGGAGATTTTTGTATTTTACCCATAATTATTATTTAATATTTTATACATAAAATCTATAGGCCTGGAATCAGGTCCTGCCCAACCCAGAATCTGGGCTGGGCCAGGACTGGGCCTGGCCTATAGCCCTTATCAGTGCTAAGCCCTGATGAGGCCCGACTCATCTCAGCCCATGATCAACCCCTAGCCACAGCCTCAACCTGGTCTGGCCTGCACTGAATTTTGGCATATATAGGTTGGGCCCAGGCCCGGGTTGCACTCAAGTTGGATACGTATATATGTATATAGTCTGGATGGATTTGGGTTGGGCTAAGGTTGCATTGAGTTGGGGCTACCAAGGATTAGGACAACGCCCAGCCCAAAAACTAAGAAAGCCCATAATTTTAGGGCATCATAACCTCTCGGAGATATACAGGCACAGCTAGAGCCTTTTTTATTTTCAAAATACAAAATCCAAAAATAGGGGCATTGTGGTTTTGGATTTGAAAATCACAAATCCTGAAACTTATCCAAACGCAACTTAAAGTGTCTTTTACTACTGGAAACTTGAAAACCCATCTCCTTCTCTCTTTTCTTTTTGGCTATCACATTTTGTCTTCTGATGTTTTAAATTTAAATACATATAGTATATAGATGGGTCAATTAACTTGAGCTTGGAGGGTTATGGTTTATGGATGGGACCTGACGCGGTGATACCCAATAAGGCCCAACCTAATTAATATATGACAATACATAAAAACTACTTTTAGACATGGAATTGGTCGACTGGATTAGGCGATTTTCCCTCTCTACATTGACTCGTGTTAACTCAATGCTCCAAACTGACCGGCAATGGCTTGCAGTTCAACCCTGATCCCGAGTTTCAAAATAGTGGATGGTGACTAAATTGGCATATATATATATAATCATAAAATTCAGGAAGAATGCCTAAAATTTTTAGATTTTTTTACAAAAATATTCCACATTTTGAATTTGGACACTCTTTATTTTGGGGGCAAAAATGTAATTCTATTACCACTATTGACTTCATTTAATTCCCTCGTTAAATCTCATATTTAAGAAATTAACTCCTATTCTCTACCATTGGATCCTATATTTATGGTATCTTTGTTTTTTATCGTTAAATACCATTAATTAAGTCCTTAAAGAATGATTTTCATGGTATAAAAATTATACTTTTAAAATCAACCTAGAAATGAAATCATTTTGTTTTTCATCTAGGTGGTGGATAAGTAGTTCAACTATTTAGACCAAATGGATCAACTCATGATGCCATAATTAAATCATAAAAATTAAAAATAGATAAGTATACAAAAAATATAAAAATAAAGAAAATTTGTAAAAAAATTGGACATGTAATATTATTATATATCGTCATATTAAACATAAGTATGATATTCTTTTTGTAAATTAAAATTTTATTCAAAGAGACCAAAAAAAGGAAATATGTACAACAGAAATGCCTAGATAGAGTAAGCAAATAATTAATAGAATGATAAAGTACAATTGCTTCACTTAAAAGCATGAAACAAAAGAACAAAGGTACAACTGGATTTGGGAACTGACCTGCAGCCATCTCTGCCATAATTTCTTGGTTTAACATAGAATTTAGCTGTGATTCCACCATGCCTAGAGAAGGTCCAACAATGGTGATATGGCCCATCTTCCGTTGCTTTTGCATTTCTGAAACATCACTGTAACCATATTAGTAATCAAAACAATAAAGAAGAATTGGCATATGCTAATTGTGAGTTAAATTTCAATACAACCCAACCTGGCTTGTCATACCAATGAACAGTAGCCCCAGGAATAGTTAATGCCCTTCCAATGAGTTGATGAGCTAAGTAAAACCCCTTCAAATGAAATTGCAACATTTGATCAGTGGTTCTTTGATAAGTCTACAATGGTAAGAGTATGAAGAATGCATTAACATCATTTGCACCAATAATGACCCAATATGCAAACTAGCATCATTGGTACCATAGCAAATTTAGGTTGTATTCAACAAAGATCATGCTCCAAAAAAATATTTGAAATAATATCCATCATGGACATGGAGAATAATTTATGATTTCAACTAGGGGTGCAACTTGGGTTAGGTTGGATTGGGAATTTGTTAAACTTCAATGGGCCCAAACCCTAACCCAAACTCAATGTAGTAGAAATTCTTCATATCGGGCAACTTGACTTGCTGCCCATCTCAACATCTATCATATATACTAAAACAAATCCCTCAAACCAACGGCTTCGCCTTCAGACAAGTGGCATTGTATAGTGGTTATCTCCACTCTCAAATACAAGCATTCTTTTTCAGACATGAAAGAGCTTCAAATGGTAATTACCTCCACTAAAAAGCAAATAAAAAAACTTATTTCAAATAATGCAGGATCCATAAAATGGGCAATAGTTTAGAAACAAGACCTGATTTAATCTCATAAATTAAATAACAAATCTATATAAAAAAAAACTAACAAAAAATAACCTAAATTTACAACATAAATAACGGGTGTCAAACAAAATTTGTCAGAATACTGGCCCAGTGTCCCCATACTTAGTACGGGGTGGTCATTCTCTTGTCACTCATCAAAACAGAGGAAAAAACATGCTCTCCAGAAGTTATCTATGAGCCAATGCCATGACCTGGTTTCTAGAAAGTCAGAATAGATTTTGACCTCTTCTTCACCCAATAGGTTGTACATAATAGCAGCTGGCATTTTCATTGATGGATCGCCAAGTGGAAGACCAACAATTGCACGCAAATGCTGCTCAAATTGTGAAGTGATACAAGATTCGATTGTGTGATGCCCACTATTGTGAGGTCTAGGAGCTACTTCATTTAGCAAAATCTGTTAAGTAAACAAATACCATCCATTAGAACATGTTAAGTAAACAAATGCCTATTAACTTATTGAATATCTTCAATAGAATATTAGTATATTACATGATATACTTTGAAAATAAGAAAAGAATCAATGGAACAGCTAAAAGTAGTTAATAGAGCCATAAAGTAAGCATGCTATGAGTAGAAAACAACCTGACATCACTTGTCAAAAACAACTCAACTGCAAAGACACCAGCACCTTCTAATGAACCAACAGCTTTCTGTGCAACTTCAGTAGCAAGGTTCCTGATCTTCCATGGGATGTTAGCAGGTGCCTTAACTATGTGACAAATATTATCCCTGCAAAAGCACAAAAGAAACCAAAAAAAATGAATGCAATAGGACTTGAAAACTTCAAATATGGAAAAGAAAAAGAACATTAAGTCTTTAACACTAACAGCTATTCATGGCATTAAGGTTTCTAGCTATCAGATAAATAGTTCCTTCATACTCTGAAAGGTGAATACAACACCTTACTTGTGAATAACCAACTGATGGTGGTTCAGTTGGTAAGTTCTCTGGCTAGTTGTAGCAGAGATTTGGGATGAAATCCTGCTGTCATCAGGGTTGGGAGGGGGGTTACGGGTATAGGGGATGGGGTACCCCCAATGTGTAGCACCAAGAAGAAGAAGAAAACACCTTACCTGTGAATAGTTTCAACAACTGGATAACAGCAAATAGAATTGTCTCTTCCTCTTGCTACGATGATGGCCAGCTCCTAAATAAATTAACAGAGAAGCAATCACTTCAGTTACAATGTGCAAGAAAGTTCCATGCTGTCAAACAATTGGGAGAGGAAAAAAAGAACAAAACATAAAGTAGTTAAAGAGTCAATATTTTTTGATAAGAGTTAATATGGCAATCAATTTCCCCTCTTAGAATACGTTAGGGTATACCTGTTGGGATATTGTCTTGATTTCTTTTGTAAATATAATTTCAGAACTTATGTATACAAGATTCGCTCTATGTTAATTAATAATTGATAATAGATACTAGGGTAGGTGGGAAAAGAGATTGGAACTTCTGGTTTTATTAATAAAAACTAAGAGAGTTGGATGTACCACCTAGGGCAGATCAATTTGACTTAGAAGATTATAATAAAAGGCAATGACTACTCCTTATGCCATACAAGGGGTCTATGGTCACCTCCTCTTATGCCCTCTCTTATTAGATTCTTTGCCATTGTCTCGAACACTGAAAGAATCTGGATGGTTCTGCCATATATGAAATCACTCAGGAAGGATAGGGTCGGAAATGAACATGGTTTCAAATGTCGCAAAATTTCGCTAATGTCGCCTGACATATGTCGATATCGAGGTTCACCGACATGAAAATAGATGGTAATATAAAAATTACATTATTTCGGTCTTTCCTATATTTCGGAAATGTCGACCAAATCGGTCCAAATAACCAAAAAAAAGACAGTTTTTTCTAGTTTTTCCTATTATGTCGAAGAAGAAAAACAGTCCTTGAGAATAGAGGACTGTTTAGAACAAATGCAGAAATCAAAAGAAAACAACAGAAATCCTTCTTCTAAGGAAGAGAAGATGAAGAAGAAGATAGCGGCAATAAGGGCTCAGAGGAAGAGAGTTTCGAACCTTAATCTCTCTTCTTACCCCCTAACACTATTTTATTAAGTTAAACTTTAATAATTTACAAAGAGGCCCTCAGTTGGGCAAGAAATTAAAAGAACATAACATAGAAAGAATAGGCCCAAAATAAGGCCCATTACAGTAAAGAACATAAAAAATAAGAAAGGATAAACAGTCTATGGGCCATTCGGCCCATCTTCTCTACACTCCCTCTCAAGCTGAGCATAGATGTCAATCATGCCAAGCTTGCCAGTATCATGCTGAAGTTTCGCCTTAGGAATGCCCTTGGTGAGAAAATCTGCTAATTGTCCTTCAAAGGTGATGAAAGGAAGACATACTTCACCCGAAGCCACTCTTTCTCGAATGAAGTGTCTATCAACTTCAATATGCTTAGCTCTGTCATGTTGTACTGGGTTGTGAGCAATGTTGGTGGCGGCCTGATTATCACAGTATAACATCATTGGCTTGTCATGCTCAATCCCCAGTTCCTCCTGTTAGACAGTTTTGTATGCCCTTAGCTTCAATCAAGAATGATGTACTTTATGAATTTATTGTAAATGAATAAAAGTACATATTTGATTCATGTTCCCTTGGTATGTTTCTGTGTAATAC